GAAGCTTTTAGCAATTATTTAAAATGCATCTGATCACTCTACACAATCTAGAAACAATGTGAATGAACACCACGACAGCTTAAGCAGCAAACTTTGCAAAACACAATTTATGACACTGCCAAAACTTTTGGCCATGACTGTAGATGCCAGAAAACTGAAACTATGAATATTTAATTGTTTAAATGACTAAAAAAGACGTTTCATTAAATGTGTTAGTAATCGGCATATCAATTTAAATTCGTAGTATTAGTGATAACATCAGTTGTTGTTTTTTTTTCAAAGTTATAAAATTTGTGATCTTTGTGAAGTTTTATGACTCATGTTTTGAATATGATGGTGATATTGCAATCAGTCTGACAGTGAAGTGCCATCTTGAGCGGTGAGGTTCTTGCATCATTTCATAACAGGAATACTGGTGATTATTAATTAAGCTTTATGGATATGTTTTGTCTGAATGAGATAATTTTTTATAAATTAAAGGCATTGTATGTGATTAGATGGAACTTAAGTAGTGGTGGTACCTGGTTTGAGAATCAGATTAAATATGAAGGTGTTCATTTATTATTGCCATCAGATTTAGCAGAAGCTTTCTAGGCTCGATGCTGCCTATAGCAGCTGCAGACCAGGACCCCTACTTGGAAGGTCAGTGTTTTGTTGGGCTGTTTGGAGGGATCTAACAGCCAGACACCCATGAGAAAAATGCCCACTATTGAATGTTAAAGGTGTAACAATGGCTGGCCTTGAATTTGATAAGACTCCCCACTGAAATGAGAAGTTAAATCGGGGGAATTTACATGCTAATTATGTATTCTTCCTCACAAAGGTAATGTTTAATCACGCTGCCATTAACTTGGTAAGGTGTTCTTACTGTTTTCATTCTCATGAGAATTGCAGGTACTGTGAGCTTGTCAAGGCTGTTCTGAAAGAATGAGGAAAAACCCTGGACTCCAGCCTCTCGCGGGGTCAGCACGAATATGAATATTTTCTGCATGATTTCTACAGCCTGAGCTGTAAGGAAACTGCTAGAAACTGTTAAGGGGGGAATCATCTCAGTATAGAGACAGCAAGACCCACTTAAGATGTTATTCTGCTAATTGCAGGAGGAGATTGCTAGTGTGTAATTACTGGGTTTAACTCTTTTTGAAAGCATATTTTGATACTTTAAAATTTTTGGATTTATGCACTTAAAATTAAATCAAAAATCTCAGCTTTACTAAAGCTGCCACACTATAATTAGTTGTAGCTGTATAGGCAAACTACTACTGTTGATTTTTCAAAAACCTTACCAATTTTGGGATGTAGCTCATCCTTTTACCAATAAAAAAATTATACCTAAAAGAATAGTATACACTAAAATTGCTGAATATTTACTCACCCCCGGGTCATCCAAGATGTAGAGGAGTTTGTTTCTTTATTGGAGAAAGCAATATTATGGACCGAGGACTCGGAACCGTTTGAAGTTTAAAAACGTCTTAAGAATGGATTTGTTTCTAACAGACACGCAACTTTTCACTTCATATGACGTTAATTGATGGACTGGAGTCGGGAATTTTTTTATGGCTTATTGTAATGCTTTTATAAGCTGTTTGGACTCCCGTACTGATGGCACACATTCACTGCAGAGCATCCATTGGTGAACAGGTGATGAATGCTAAATTTCTCCAAACAAGAAATTACCAGCAATTTTTTTTGGGGGAGTGAACTATTCTTTCATATATTGCAGATCTTTAAGGACAGGTGTTCAATTACCTTTCTAAGTTATGATTTTTTTTTTTCCTGGCCGATGATAAAATGGCAAAAATATCTAATTGATTTACACTGAAAGTCCTGAGCTATAAGGATCGGAATATCATAGTGGTTTAGAGATGAACTCTTTGATTTAGGGTAGTAAGTAAACAACTAGCAGCCACAAAAATGGGCTAACAACCACATAGCAATGCACTAGATTTATGCTGGCTGCATGGGGAAAAAACAAACAAACTTAAAATCGAATTGGACATTAATGCGCTCTTTGAGTTTCATGGCACACAATAGGCTTTTGAAAGCATATGCATCAATCTGCATTTTGCTAATTACAATGTATAATACAAAAATGTCTCCAGAACCTTTTCGAGTCATTTGTGTGTCTTACGGGATTTCTTACAGTAACCTTGTTGATTGCCATCTTTGAGTAGCTGGTTAAATAAGATTAACACACAATGCAAATGACAGTTCTGCTATGCAAATTAAATCATTAACAGTGCTCTACCCACATCCTCGACATTGACGCAATTCTCTCCCCATTTCTGGAAAGGTGGCGTTGATTATTTTTCTCAGTCACGTTTCATAAATGCTGATTGCCATTTAGAGACCTTTTACTCCTGACATCAATTTCATTTCTAAATGACTTATTTTCTCTGTATCCAGAATCGCTGCATGTAATGTCCATTTAGTAATCACCGGATGTAATGGGAAAAT